GGCGGGGGCGGGGGGCGAACACCGGCCTTGCGCTGCCGCCGCCCCCGCTGCCTCGGGGAGATGGGGGGATGGAGGAGACGGGGCTCTTCTCCCCCCCGTGAGTATTGCGGGTCCCCCTCTTGCTTATTATAATGATGTTACCCGCCCTGAGCCCGTCCACGGGATGGGCGGGATATAAATGCAAATCTATGCACACAGAATCAACACCTTATCTCTTAAGTGCTAAATTTCAAGAAGTTCAGTGAATATAAGATTGTTTGGAGTGGAATAGGTCTGGATAAGGAGGAGATGTTAAGAGCTAAGTGTGAGGAGGAAGGGGCAAGCAGTGCAAATGAAAGTGAAACTTTTTGAGCAGAATACTCTAGAAATCATCCTCATGGATGTTTAAGCAAATACAAGAATACATATGCTATATGATATTGTTTTAGTTAGATAAAACAAATGGTTATTGTTAATTATTTTTTTTTCCTTCCAGTAAAGTATTTTTCTCCTTCCAATAAAGTACAGCAGAAGTTGTCCAAATATGAATGATTAACAACCTTTTAAACTGGAGATAGTTCACCTTGCAGTGAATTCATAATTATCTATTTAAAGTGGTAAATAACCAATCATTAATTTTCTGATATAACTAATACTAACCTGAAAAGTTATACTAAAATGAAACCTTCATCTGGGTTGTAAATATCAAGGCCAGCAAGAATGAGCCTTTATGTAGAAAACCATGATTTAAATTGTGTCTTACTGACTAGAGATTTAAATCATGATTTTAAATCAATTTGATTTAAATCATATCCACCCTGCTTGGAAGATTGTGTTCTGTCCTGTTAAAACTGTTGTGAATGGAATCTGTTTTTATATACATTTGGACTTTTGCATAGTGAAAAAAGAGCATGTTGTGCCATTGGATGTAAGCAGAGTGGGGTGGGAAACAGCCTACTGCAGTCACCCCTCTGCTCTTCTGTTTCAGGTTTTGCCCATCTCTTGTATTTTTCCAAGGAGAACCTCCTGCATGTGAAAGCCATAAATGAAGTGGTGAGTGCTTTCTTTAGACAAACAGATCTGATCTAGAACCCTCTCTGTCACAACCGCTCAGTATCCAAACTTCAACTTTTCTCCTGGTTACTGACATTCATTTTGGTTTTTTAATATTTTTTTATTTTGATTTTCTACATAAATCCTACAAAGCTACACACTAACTAAAATTACAGCTATACAATGACCATATATGATAATAATTATTATCTTAAAGCTTTTCTCTTATTCAGGTTAAGAATAAAAATTCTATTATTTAGATATGCAAAAAATTAAAATTATTGACAATGCAAGATTATGTAATGTAGTATAAACATTTCTTCTAAAGTTTAAGCTATTTTCTGCCTTTCCTTCATCTCTTCTTGCTTTTATTGTCCCGGGGTGGTTTGGGTGCTGCCTCTCCCAATTCTGATTCTGATTCTACTTCTGAGCTGCCATCGGCAGATGTTTTGTGGTTCTAAGCCATGCAAACTGTCCAGTTCTCCTTCTTCTTCTTCCTCTGTGTTCTTTGTATCCTTTTTAGGTTCCTGATGTCTTTCCAAAACCTTCTTCGCTTTAGTAAAATAGTCAATCTTTTCTTTTCTGCCTTTGCAGTTGAACATCAAGCCTTCAGGTAGTATCCATCGGTAGGTAGTGGAATTTTCCCATAAATAAGTGGTTAAATTCTTGTATTGTTTTCTCTTTTTCCTTATCTCAAATGGAATATCTCTGATGTCTTCTTCTTTAATTTTCAGTGTAGTCCCAGATGTTGCTTTTAGTATTGCATCTCTTAGAGATCTCTTAGAGAATCTGATGTATATTTCACCAGGCAGGTTTTTTTCTTCATAAATTCTGAATATGTCCGATAGATCATATCCATTTCACTTTGTAGTACTTCCGCCTTGATGCCTGTCACTGGTGCAAGCGCTTCACTAAGGATTTCTTTCAGATTCTCAGATTTGTACACCTTGAAATCTCAACACATATGAAGATTTTTCCATTTGTAGCTGCAAAAGTTGAGTTTTATCTGAAGATCTTTTTCCACAACTTCCAGTCTTTGATCAATTGCTTCAGTCTTGTTTTCAACTTCTTCTGTTCCTTTATTCGATTCTTTTTGCTGTTTTTGTAAAGACTACAAGGTCTTGCTAATGTTAGTCATCTGAGCCACCAGAGGTCGCAATGCAGTATCCAGCATGCCTGAAAATTCGAAGTTCACTTCCGGTTTGGAAACCGGATGTGTTGAGCTGGCAGTTCCTTGATGAATCTTCGCTTTCACCGCCATCTTTTCATCCCAATAAGACATTGTTTATGTTTTGTAAAAGTTCGCTTAAGTCTTTAGAAGTTTATTCGCTCTAACGCCCTAACAGTCTGGCATTGTACTGACTGAAATCAGTACAATGATTAAGTTCATGAATACTCCCGGGGCTCTGGCCAACCCGAAAGGCATGCCCAAGTATTCAAACTGCCCCAGGGGAATGTTAAACACAGTCTTGTGCTCATCTTCCTCCCTTATGCGCACCCCTTGGATGTTTCTGCTAGTAGGTCTTTGATCAGAGGCAGGGGTACACACTGGACATGGAGACCGCATTCAGCCCTCTATAATTCATGCACAGTCTCCCCATCTTTCTTTTTTCTAAACAGCACAGGCGCTGCGAAAGGGGAGGTAGCTGGGCAGATGAAACCCGGCTCTAAGTTCTTGTCTATGAACCACCATAGCTCCTCCCTTTCAGCCGGGCTCATGGTGTAAAGTTTTCCCTTAGGCATTTTGTGCCCCGGCAATATTTCTATGGCACAATCGGTTTTGCGGTGTGTGTGTGTGGGGGGGGGGCAATTCATCGGCCTCTCCTCAAATACATGGCCCAAGTCTCTATACTCTGGTGGAATGGCATTCAGTTCCTCCCTCACCCAGTAAACTCTCACGGGCACCGGGCATGGTTCCTCCCCCCATTTCGGGTTCCACTGGTGCTCCTTGCATCGGGGATCTATGAAAGTCAGGGTTCCTAAACTCCACTGCACATAGGGGTCATGGGCTGCCAGCCACAGACTGCCTAAGACCATGGGGAACTGTGCTGTGGGATGTACTATGAAGGCTCTTTGTTCCCAGTGTCCTGAAACCCCCACGGGTAACGTAACAGTATTATACTGGCAGGATTGCATGGTCCATCTGGGTGAACACTATGGGGTCTTTCAGTTTCAACACTCCTGCCCCCAAGCCCGTGACTAATGTGGGGCTCAGCAGGTCTCGGGAGCACCCTGAGTCTATAAGGGCCCTGACTCTAATTTGGGTCTCCACTTCAGAGTTCAGGATAGTAACAGTCACAAAAAAAAAGAGGGAGGAACAGGTTCTCACTGGTTCTTGCACCGGGGTTTTGTGGACCTGCTGGTTGGCGCCCTTTACAGCAGGCCGTTTCCCTGGATCTGAGGCTCTTCAGCATCGCTGGAGGAAGTTCCCTCCAATGTGGTGTACTCAGCTGCTTTCAGGGCTCTCGGCAATTTGGGTCTTTTCCCCGTCACCCATCATTCCTTAGCAAATAGAAGGGGAAGTCATGGAAACAGTGACAGAATTCATGTTCCTGGGATCCAAGATCACTACAGACGGTGACTGCAGCCATGAAATTAAAAGATGCCTGCTCCTTGGTAGGAAAGTTATGGCAAACCTAGACAGCATAATAAAAAGTAGAGACATTACACTGCCAACAAAAGTCTCCATAGTCAAAGCAATGGTATTCCCAGTAGTAATGTATGGCTTCAAGAGTTGGACCATAAGGAAGGCCAAGAGCCGAAGAATAGATGCTTTTGAATTATGGTGCTGGAGAAGACTCTTGAGAGTCCATTGGACTGCAAGGAGATCAAATCAGTCAATTCTAAAGGAAATCAAACCTGACTGTTCCCTGGAAGGCCAGATATCGAAGCTGAAGCTCAAATACTTTGGCTACCAAATGAGAAGGGAGCACTCACTGGAGAAGACCCTGATGCTGGGAAAAATTGAAGGTAAAAGAAGAAGGGAACGGCAAAGGAAGAGATGGTTAGACAGTGTTACCAATGCAACGGACATGAAATTGAGCAAACTCTGGGGGACAGTGGAAGACAGGAGGGCCTGGTATGATGGGGTCGCGAGGAGTCGGACTCAACTGTGCAACTGAACAATAACAAACATTCTTAGACCTGTGCAGCTAAGCGTATCTTTAATTCTCCCATGGAAATCAATGGGACTTAAATGCTCTTCTGCTTTCAATAGCCTTGCAGAACCACACTGTAAAAGTCTATGTCTGATGTTCCTTCTGGTGACTGTTTATCTATTACTTCCCTGACTTACATTTACCTCCCTTTTACTTGTCATGTATGTACTGTACTGCACTCATTGAATCATCCCAAATTATGATTTGAAGTTAGCAGTATTTATTTAGGCTGTTTGTTTGGTCAAATACAAGTGGGTTCCCAGCCTAGAAACAGCATTGGGACCCATGCGTTCCATGTGTTAAGAGGGAATCCTCCTCCCCAAAGCTTCGTCTAGGCTGTGGAGTCTTGTGAGCAAAAAATCTACGTTGTGAGTTACTGGCATTGAAGTTGTGAGCGAGCGATTTGGCCACTGCATTAGTTTGCTCTGGAGCCATCCTTCTTGAGCTAAGGCAAAAATGTATGAGCCAGAGGCTAAAAAACTGTGAGCTAGCTCATACTAACTCAGTGTCCGATTCCCCATGCATTCGAATAAATCCACGTTTGAAGAACAAAGTAGAGTTTATTATAAAGCGATGATAGATCAGAACACAAGCATTGTTAGGAATAACTACAAGCCCCCTAAGGGAACATAATAAAGGAACTTTGAACCAGGTGAGGACCAATGAGTCCACTTCCCGCTGGCGGGAAGACAGATAAAACGAGCGCCCAATTCCTTGGGAACACAACGGTTCTGCAACATAAACACTAGTTCAGTTCTCAGGCATGATATACATAATAAGCCAAGCAATGCCATCACTCCATCCCACCTCCAGCTGGTTGACCTTGAGCAGTTCCGCAGATGTAGCAGCAAAAGACAGTAAACACCTACACAGGAAAATACAAGGGGGATGGGCAGGGTGCAAAGTAACACAGAAAATGACTACAGCATCTTATGGCAGGTTGCTGACACTCAGCTTAGAGGGAACACCCCCCCCCCCCAGTTTTCTTAAAACTCAAGCACACCCAGGGAAACTGCTTAGTAGTAAATTTAGATTAAAACTTTTTTCACACAGGGTTTAGAATGATACTTGGGTTGAGAGTTACAGATTCTGCACTAAGGTGCATAGTTTGTAGTATCATTGTAAGTAGGATCCTATCATGATTTTTGCATTTATTGAACTTGTCATGTAAATACTTACATTTTGTTTGCGTTGTGTTTCTATTTCTGGTTGGTTTCAGTTGTTTCTATTTCTGGTTGGTTCCAAATTCTTACAATTCAATTCTTAACAATTCTTACAATCCTATTGCATTGTCTACTGGATGTCCCATCCTGTTGATTGTATTGGTTTACTCCAGTGAGAAAGGCAGACTAGAAATAATGTAAATAAATAAATACATATAACTGTGTGATGGAGTTTTCATACACAAGTGTCAGTGCCTGCCCGAGGAGCTCAGGAAAGCTCCCATTCTCCTGGCCTTCGGCAAACTATGCAAAACTGAATTATCTGCACAGATAATAAGGCTGCACAGTACAAAATGGTTCACAAACTTACTTGGATATTGGGATTTATGGTATGTACTGCTATATATAGCATGTTGTAAGTAGGATCCTATTATCACTTTGAGCCTACTTGTGGGGAAAGCGATTAATAAAATCGAAAAATCGAAATCGAATCTATTATGTGATTTCTGTATTGCTTTAAGTATCATGTTAATTCTTGTGCTATGCTTTTGTTTCTTTCTGGTGGTTCCAGACTTTTAATATCCTAATGTTTTAGTTATTGAATGTTCCTTTTTGTTGATTGTACTGACTCAGTATGTGTAATCTGCCTTGAGTTTGTGTGAGAAAGGCAGACTATAAATAACATAAGTAATAATAAAATAATAAAAAGGAGGATGGGTCTATCTAGAGCTACAACAGCTGCACGGGAACTCCCAGGTTCTCCTCAGTTCTAAGTGTTTTAGGTTAAATGGGGGGGGAGCTGTTGCCTGCTTTTGGCATTCCCAGAGACTTACAGCTGTCCCGTTATTATTTATTATTATTATTTATTACATTTCTATACTCCCCATAGCCAAAGCTCTCTTAGAGTTAGAGCACTGGACTAGATGGGTTTTTGACCTGATTCAGCAGGGCTATTCTTAATGTGGTATTCGGGGGAGAGAGAAGGGTTTTATTGTATTTAGCCATAGGCCATTACAAACCAGAGAAAAATACTATAAAACATAGATAATTGTATAAAATAGAGTACAGTCTAAAATATTACAAAACCATAAAACCGTTGGTTATGAACAATTAATTAAATCACAGCATACCCACTAAGATCAATATTAACTAGTACCCCTAAGAACAGCATTGGCCCATATTTTCTTTGCAGCCAAGGCAAATAGAGCCATTCTATAGGATACAT